AAAAAAAAAATGTTCTGATTTAGTTAAAAACCCCCCCCCCCCCTGTAGGTAAGCTACGTTCTATTACTTGATGCATTAGTGATATGTTTTGTCTTTCATGGGTTGAATCAAAATTTAACTTACTACAGTGTTGATCAACCTATGTTGACGTCCTTGGAACAGTGTAGTCCCTTGTCGAAAGAAATGTCTCTTAGCCTTGTACATGATTAAACACTCTTGTTGTTTTCCCTTTCCTATTTTTGCATGAAATGCTCATCTTGTTTCTTCTGCATATATTTGTCTTAAAGCTAAGCCTACTTATTCGCAGCTTATCCTTTTTTTTTTAATTCTATGTGGTCTTGTCTCTGCAGCTCTTTCACGTTTTGCCTTTGGCCATAAACAGCACCTAAAGTCAGTTGCAGCCTCATATTGGAGGCCTCAATCAAGTTCTTTGCTGACTTCGTTCCCTTCATTCGCCAAGATTCATGATGCTGGGAGCTCTACAATTGTTTCTTCACACATGGGTCCTCTGACAAGAGCAAGCACTGAGAGCCTACCAGTATTTCGTGAATCAAGGGTCTCATCAAGCAGTCCACATGGTTCTTCTGGACTCATGCATGGATCTCCATTATCTGATGATTCTTCACAACATTCTGATACCGGAGTAATTCATGATGGTGTTAGCAATGGAGTTGCCCATCCGCCTAGACCATTGGAGAATGCGGTTTATTCGCAGTGTGTTGTAGCTATGTTTGCATTAGCCAAAGATCCATCTCCACGTATCGCTAGCCTTGGACGGCGTGTTTTGTCTATTATTGGAATTGAACAAGTTGTTGCAAAACCCTCAAAGCCCAGTGGCCGACAAGGTGAAGCTGCAACATCATCTCATACCCCTCTTGCTGGCCTAGCTCGTTCATCTTCATGGTTTGATATGCATGCAGGTAGCTGGTTAATGAGGGTTTTCCAATCGCCGTTTGATTCGAGCAGTTGATTTATAGTGCTATTCGTTTTTGATTGTTAGTGAGTTTTTATCTTGAACTTTTATTTACAGGACACCTGCCTTTAACGTTTAGGACTCCCCCTGTGAGCCCTCCTAGGACAAGCTACTTAACAGGTTTAAGGAGAGTTTGTTCACTAGAGTTCAGGCCGCATCTCATGGGTTCTCTGGATTCGGGATTGGCTGATCCGCTTTTAGGAGCCAGTGGATCTGAAAGAAGTTTGCTTCCGCAGTCAACTATTTATAATTGGAGCTGTGGTCACTTCTCTAAACCACTTCTTGGTGGAGCAGACAACAGTGAGGAGATAGTAGCCAGAAGAGAAGAGAAGGAAAAATTTGCGCTTGAGCACATTGCGAAATGCCAACATTCTTGTAAGGCGCTTTCCTTGTTTGTCTTTGTTCGTTCTTCTCTTCTCTGGTAACTAAAGCTGTATTCCGAACGTTTTCTCCTGGACCAGCAATTAGCAAGCTCAACAACAATCCTATAGCTAATTGGGATACAAAGTTTGACGCTGGAACCAAGACGGCCCTCCTTCATCCATTTTCTCCAATAGTAATTGCTGCAGATGGAAATGAACGGATCAGGTATGCAGGTTTCTTCGGACAATTTTGGATGATTAATTTTCATCATAGGTTTCTTGCAGGTTGCCTCTATGTAAAAAATGATTCACATGTTGTGCAATATTGTCAAGATCCGTACTCACTCTTTATCTTCTCGAAATCACAATTTGTTGGATCGGATCTTCTTATCTTGTATCATCATTTAGAAAGTGTTTAGCTCCGAAGTGCTCTCATTTGAGGCGGTGTTAGAATATTCATTGAACACCATCCCAATTTGATATTCTTGTTTCTTTCCTCTTTGTTCTAAATGCTTCTGCTGGACTAATCATTTATTGATCTGTCCTCTCAGGGTGTGGAATTATGAGGAAGCAACTCTTCTCAATGGTTTTGACAATCACGATTTTCCTGACAAAGGAATTTCAAAGCTGTGTCTTGTCAATGAGCTTGATGACTGTTTGCTGCTTGTTGCTTCATGTAATGCTTACAACTTTTGTCACGAAGAGGCTTCTGTGTCATTGGGAATTTCTTGGTTATGGCTGTGTAAATCCTTCTATCTATGTAGGTGATGGAAGTGTTCGGATATGGAGGGATTACACAACAAAGGGAAAACAAAAGCTTGTTACAGCTTTTTCGTCCATCCAGGGTCACAAGCCCGGAGCACGTGGCTTGAATGCTGTTGTGGATTGGCAACAGCAATCTGGTTACCTGGTATGTTTCTTCAATCATCACAGTAGTTTGGTTTCTTCTTTTGGTAATGAAACTGGTTGACGTTCATATGATTCATTACCTGGCTTCTGCAGTATGCTTCTGGGGAAATGTCATCTATCATGCTTTGGGACCTGGAGAAAGAACAGCTCGGCAATTCTATTCCCTCTTTCTCTGATTGCGGTGTCACAGCACTTGTAAGTTTGCTTTCATGTAATAAACTTGCAAAAACAGTCTCTCTTCGTTTTCGTAAGCCACGTTACAATCACAACTATTTATCTGTTATTGCCTTCTGATGATGGATTGGTGACTGAGGGTGTGATAAATTCATGATCTCCCACCGTACTGTCAGAAAGTAATTCTTATATAACAAATTCCTGGCTATATCATTTTTTCTTTTTTCCTTGCAAAGGATGTCTTCAGCACTTACTGGTAATTTTGAAAGAAAGGGAAGATTATCCAGGAAGATAACCATCTAACCTAGGCTCCTCGTCCCTGGGGACCAACTAGAATATTGCAGAAATATTTACTTATCTTCTTCTGGCTATGCCGTGCACATGATCTTGGACGATATGAAAAAGAAACCATGTTACAGATGGGATTCTTATGTGCACAAATGGTGCCTCAAATTGTAAATCACATGAAGAAATCTTCGTTGTTTCTTTCTCGTGTCATTCTGTTCTGCTTGACCGGTCTGAAATGAGTTTTTTGTGATTGGTACAGATGAAAACTAGGATTTTGTTTGATGGGTTAATGTTGTCTTTGTAGTCGGCTTCTCAAGTGCATGGGGCCCAACTCGCTGCTGGTTTTGCTGATGGATCTGTAAGACTTTATGATGTTCGGACACCCGATATGTAAGTATTGCTTATAGAGCCTATTTATTTTCTAGAGGGGCTAATTTCAAGTCTTCACTAGTCCTTCCCTATCAATCCCAAAATTGCACAAGGACATCACTAAAAGTAACATTGATAATAACGATATTATTCATAAAACTAAAATTTTTATAATTGTTCAATTCTCATCCTGGTGCATTATGCCTGTTCTTGAGATATACAAGCTCGGCTCTTATCATTCATTTCACATCTCTTATGCTGATAGTTATAGTATTTATTTCTTTCTGTAGGCTTGTCTGCTCTACTAGACCTCATCAGAGAGCCGAAAGAGTCGTTGGAATCAGCTTTCAGCCTGGGCTCGATCCTGCAAAGGTTTATAAAACAAGACTCGTATTTCCACTCTTTAATTGACGTGTCTGGGCAGTTCCTCACTCTGTTTTTCCTGGGCTCTTTCAGATTGTGAGCGCATCACAGGCTGGTGACATCAGGTTTCTTGATCTCAGAACGACAAGGGACACTTACCTAACCATAGACGCCCACAGGGGCTCACTCACAGCCCTGGCTGTTCACAGACACGCCCCTATCATTGCAAGTGGTTCAGCGAAACAGCTCATCAAGGTCTTCAGCCTCCAGGGTGAACAGCTTGGAATTATCCGATACTACCCTTCATTCATGGCCCAGAAAATCGGGTCGGTCAGCTGCCTCTCGTTTCATCCATACCAGGTTCTGCTCACGGCCGGTGCTGCAGATTCATTTGTCTCCCTCTACACCGGCGACAACGCTCAAGCAAGATAATGATAGATCTGACCTGTAAGTGGATCTCTTCCCTGGGTAAACGGTAAAATTCTTGAAGCACATCTCAAGCTGGTTATATATACATCACGAGAGTAGAAAAAGGGATTGCAGTTGCATTGATTATAGATGAAGGAGAATGATAGAGAACCGGTGGCGTTTGTGGAGCAGGGGATGGGGTTCGTGTGATTTACCAAGAAAATATTCATTTAGCCTCCCGTGGGGTTTGAAAGATGAGAAGATCCATATCATCTTATAAGGTGATCGTTTACGGTGGGAGGCTTTGCCGAATAAAATAATTTCTACGCCACGTAAATGGTTTGTAAATAGCTTGTCTGTTTGTTTGTTTCTGCTTTTTCTTTGGTGTGATCTCTCTTGTTTTTTTTTTCCTCCTGGTTTCATTCTTAAAAAGGGGGGAAATTGCGTTAACGTAAATTATTATTTGCCCTTGTAGATTCAGTCAGGGTTTCAAGCAGTGGGAAAAAGTCGATGGGTTTCAGTTTATAATTGCTTTGTTTTCTCTTCTCTTTCGGAATGTAAATTTGCAATGTCAAAAAGAGTCGATAGTTTTACAACGCAGGTACATTCAAAGCTTAAAATAGCTGTTACATGGTTAAAGGTCCACTTAGCCCTCCCCTCCTTTCTCCCTCTTGACAACGGACCGTACTCATCCTACCGGTGAACCAGAATTCTAGATTTGGAATACCCGGTTTACGGATTGAGTGTCCCCTGTCAACTCTTCGGAGATGGCATTGAATCCATAGAAGGTTGAGCATCGCAACTCCGGCCTTGTGAGTTTTAATTATTACATAGCAATCCATTTTACTACCGCCCGGTCTAATTTCGTTGTTACCCAAATACACAGTTTCATTCTACACAGCAATAGCATTGTGTTTACTTCTCATGGGGCTTTCTTAGAAAGTGTCTAAAGGTGGTTTTTTTTTTTTGGGGGATTACGGAGACAATGTCTACATGATACGACGAATAATACATTTATAAAATTCAAATTCTAAACAAAGGGCATAATGTTAATTTTATTTTCAGCCGCCACACGACACAGATGATCGTCTCGCGTGGGGCACACCAATCTCTTTCCACCTCCCACGTACGCAGCAGCACTTTATAGTTTATATGGCGAAGGGACTTTTATGTTCTAAACCGTTGGTTTACTTTCTCGTCCAACATAATTTTATTTAGCACTCTGAGGCTGAGCTCAACAGGTTTTCTTTGAACATAAATAAATGAATAAGCAAACTTTTTCACCTGGTCACGTTCTCGATGAGGACTATGTATGTCATGTCTCATTTGCTACTCTTGAGACCACCACCAGCATTCCAGAACACATTCAGATCTTCAAACAATCTGTACGGAGGAACGTACGGCTTCTGAGCCAAGCCCGTCTCCGCTTTCCCAACATTACCCGATGACTCAATGCCGCTTCCTCTTGCAGGAAGCGAATTAGAGTACTGCAATTGTCTGTCTAAACTCTGCTGCTGCTGCAATGATGTCCCCTCCCTCGTCCTTTGGCTCCACATCGTGTTTGATTGATCCATCATTGCCCATGGTGGTGGCTGATACCCATTTCAAATTCTAAACAAAGGGCATAATGTTAATTTTATTTTCAGCCGCCACACGACACAGATGATCGTCTCGCGTGGGGCACACCAATCTCTTTCCACCTCCCACGTACGCAGCAGCACTTTATAGTTTATATGGCGAAGGGACTTTTATGTTCTAAACCGTTGGTTTACTTTCTCGTCCAACATAATTTTATTTAGCACTCTGAGGCTGAGCTCAACAGGTTTTCTTTGAACATAAATAAATGAATAAGCAAACTTTTTCACCTGGTCACGTTCTCGATGAGGACTATGTATGTCATGTCTCATTTGCTACTCTTGAGACCACCACCAGCATTCCAGAACACATTCAGATCTTCAAACAATCTGTACGGAGGAACGTACGGCTTCTGAGCCAAGCCCGTCTCCGCTTTCCCAACATTACCCGATGACTCAATGCCGCTTCCTCTTGCAGGAAGCGAATTAGAGTACTGCAATTGTCTGTCTAAACTCTGCTGCTGCTGCAATGATGTCCCCTCCCTCGTCCTTTGGCTCCACATCGTGTTTGATTGATCCATCATTGCCCATGGTGGTGGCTGATACCCATATGCCCCCTGCCGTTGCGTTATTTCCGTCTGAAACTGAGTCACTGCCGGCTGGAGCTGCTGTTCCGGCCGTGGGTGAGAGAATTGCTGCTGAAATTGAGAAGCTATGGTGTTAAGCTGACCCTTTTGCTGGAGTAGCGATTCAGATGGTAAAACCTCTTCTGGTTGAGACTGAGATTGTTGTGCCCATGGGACAACATAACTGTTAAGGAGCATCTGCTCAGTGGAAGATTTTGTTTGATGGGTACTTTGGTGGCAGGTAGAGGGTTTTATAGCTGTGGTCGTTAATGTTAGGCTCAGAAGGTCGATGATGTCCTGCTCCGCCTTCATCTTTGATGTGGAAACTGCTTCATCGGATAAAGCTATATCTTTGCATTCTGTTGGTTGTGTAGCTTCTTGATTCCCTGCTGTTATGTTATCGTTCTTTCCCAAGAGAAGTAGTGCTTCTTCTTCGCATATTTGAGTGTGCCTGCAGAAATTAGACAATGTGCTTAGATACAAGGTAACTGGTAAATTGAGTTTTACGTAATGGAAGATCTTGAAATTCATGTCAATAGAACCAATGTGCACTTACACTACTATGTTTCTATACGATCAGCTAACCTTTTTGCCAACTGTGCAAAGTCATCTTCCATTTCCTCCTCGTCAGATTCACTTTCACTGCTCGACGAAGAAGTGACAGACTCAGGAGCAGGAGCGGAACCATCCTTCGGTTTCGGGCTCATCTGTGAATTTCCTTTAGAAATTGCAGCTTGTAGCTGTGAGGGAGGAAGTGATACACCAGAGGCAATAGAATCATGCCTCGCCAACACGCCCTGCATGGAGTCATTCAACTCAAGCCCTCGTGCCAAAACATCCTCGTCCCTGAGTAAAAGAAGCCATAGAGATATGTGGTATTGTTGCGGTCAGATTTCCATCATAACAAAAGCCTTTAAAACCAGAAATTCAAGAACGTAAACTGGATGCGAAGAGTTTAAGGAACAAACGCAGTGGTCATGAGCATCTGGATTAGTTTCTTCTGATTAGAGCGGCACTGCTCGGCCAAATCAACTATCAGTTCATCCTTTAGGGCCTGCGAACGTGATACCAAACACCATTTACACATCAAAAACTTCAACAGACTTGGGTTGTGTTCTCATCTTATACCATTTGTACTCTCTTAATTTTATACAAAGTCGGCGTTCAGACCAAATACCAGAGACTGATTCAACAACCATTTAAGCTATTGCAATAGCGGAAGCTGAAGATGTTGGGACCAACAGTGTTGAAGAGCTATAGAGCTATCAGACTTACTGAGCTATCTGCAGGGTTCAAGGCTTGCACCATCTGTTTCAGAAGGTCCATCACATTTCTCATTGATTCGAGGCTCGACAAGCTGAAACCGTAGGCAAGAGACGTTACAAAAGGTTACTTGGAAAGAGTAATTACTTGATGAATGAAGATATTGCTTGCCTTAAGCTCTCAATTTCGGTGGCCATTGTTTCGTCAAGCCTTTTCAAAGAACTGCTTGATAGAAGGTGCCGAGATGAAGACTGTGCCAAGCTCGGTCGAGCATTTGAGGTTCTAAGCATCAGGGCCGCTTCATGTGAACGTTCTGGGAATCTAACCCCAGAGCGCTGTCATGCAAAACTGTGTTATCATACTACAACATCTTAATCCACTAACCCTAATCTGGGAAATGAAAAAGGACAGAGAAAAATCATTTGCTAAGGGCATTAAGAAGACAGAATCTAACTGAAGAGATCGAAGTTCAACCTAACTGATGTGTACGGAGGAATAAGAATTCAAGCAGAATACCCAGACACAACCAGACAGAGCGATGCTTACCCTTAGCTCCTCGTAGGCCCAGTTATAATGGGGATATCTGCAAGCAACGCCACCAAATGCTTCGTTCCAAGTGTCCAACAAAATCAAGATTTTGTTCCTTACTTCAAAGTCCCCCTTAAAGAAAAATCCAATCACACAGTCTCATTATCAATCCGAAATTTCAAAAATTTCAACAATCTGATGAGGAATAACCAAGTCACCTTCTTCCTCACGATCTTGACCATCTCTCCAAGTAGATGTCTCTCAGCAATTTGAGAATGCAGATGCTCCCCGCAGTTTTTCACCATTGCCTCCAACAGCTACCAACAGAACCCTTCAAATCAATTTCTTTTGTTTTCCCCCCCAAATCGCAGTGGTTTCTATTCAACACAGAGAACGGGTAATATACCGTCAAAGCAAGTAATTGAACTTTGGCGTTTTTGTGCTGCAATCTCCTCTTCACTGCTTTGATTGCATCTTTACCTTGCCTGAGCATTTTTTCCGCAGACAATCCAACAATGTTAAACACCGCTAACGAAATATCCGGCCCCTTCCGTCCGAATCAGATCCACATTATTGGGGAAAATCCAATCGCAGACGCATTTATGAGAACAAGGGACACGCAATTGCAAACGAAATCGAGATGAATAAATACCAGTGGTGAGAATTGACGGAATCACATATGGCGATGATCATGGTCCAATCAGGAGTGAGGAGAAGCTCGTTCGTCGCCTTGTCCACCGCCACCGTCACGGACGAGAGTGTAAACGAAGGAGACGAACAAGAAGCCATAGTATCAGGTTGGAATTTCCTCGCGTATGTGTGTGTATGTATGATCGAATATTTTCCGGGAAAATATGAGTTTTTCTTTTCCGGCCAGAAATAGAACCTTTGGGTGTTGTTTTTTCCGGCGAGAAATTCGTAATACCGTTGAATAGACTCGTGTGCACTTGACCACGTGGACAGAGGAGTTGATTGGCATTGGCTAATTAAGCGTTCTTTGGGATTCGCTGTCAAACGACAACCATAGGTTCTAACATTACAAACACATTTTATAAATCGAATATTTATACATTTCTTTTCCAACCTCCCAGAATGTCAAAATGGCCTAATTCACCCTGTCTTGATCCGTTTTAAAATAATTTAATTTAATAACAATAATATGAATATTTATACACAAGCAGACAGAAAGATCACAGGTGATTATAATATAAAAGAATAAGCGCATGCTCAATTAATTATCTTTTAAGATAATATATATATAATCCATCGTCATCGTGGTGGGTTAGGTCACAAGACCAACAATTAATTAATTAATTCATACCAAACACACATATTTATTTGTATTCATATATATACAGTAATAATAAATAGCATGGAAGACGATTCATGATATAGGGGCGTCGTCTGGTAAGTTAACGTAATTCATATATCTATTTATTCAACTCCATGTTATATATTTACTCCGTTCATAATAATAACACATATATAATTATGACAACATTCCACTCCAAATTATTCGTACAAAAGATATATATATATATATATATATATATATATATATAATCTCATATAATGTCTAAGGCAACATGATCATATCTCATATAATTATAGTTGAGATTATAAAACATTGTCTATAACGAAATAAATCTTAAGCTGTGCAATTAATATATAATAATTACATACCTGAGATGAATTTTGCAAGGAGGCTTCGTTTGCATGGTTCGTACTTTGTTTGTAAAAGCTTATTTAATTTACGTATATCTCTCTATATATATATATAGAAGTAGATACACATTTCTATACATATATATATATATATATGCGCGTGTGTGTGTATGTATATACACACACACATAAGGAGTGAATGATCAAGGTGAATGTGGTCATGATGGGGAAGATGGGCACATGAACAACTAACTCAATCACACACCAAACAACCGGACAAATTAGTGTGTAGGCCCTTAAGCACCCGTGACTTTCAGACGCAAAAATCGCCCTCTCACTTGTCACAACAATGTCCCATATATATAAATGTGTATATATATGCAATTCTATATCTATATATATGTGTGTATATGTGTGTGTAGATCGATAGAGAGAGAGAGATTCAAATGTCATCATCATGTCAATGCATATGCGTGAGCCTGATATGTGTAGATATGCAGAGAAATGCAACCGTACGTACTGCTCCAAACGTGTATATGTGTACTTGCATTTGGTGAATGAATGTGCTGCAATGGGTGTGTATATATGAATGTATATGTATGTATATATATGTATATGCAATGGATGGGATGAGAGTTAGCAATGCACGTGCCCTGCTTCTCCATCTTGCCCAGCACACACACCTTCACTTGCCATATCTCTCTGTGGGGAGAGAGAGAGAGAGAGAGAGAGAGAGAGAGAGAGAGAGAGAGAGAGGGAGAGAGTTGAAGGAGAGCTTTGGAGAGTGGGTAGAGGCAACCAAATGTACATTCAGTGCTTTCTCATTTATAGCAAATGGAGGAAAGTGAGGCAAAGCGCCCACTTTCGAGGCCAACCAAATATTTTAACTCTATTTACTTTATATTAAATTCCACTGGTCTTGCCGTGAATCATATATAATTAATACTTGAGATAACTTAAAACAGAATATCCAAGCTTTTTATGTATTTTCATATATAATGGTTGGTCATTTTACAAAATTTCAATATTAAAATATAAAATACATAAAATTTGGAAAATAAAATGAGAATTTCAACCAATTGGGTATACGTTAAAATGTGGAAACAATCTAAGTTCGTGTTTGTTAAAAATTTTAACGTCGGGTTTGAGATTGTAATTGTAGAAACGATATGTATGTAATGGAAATTGGAATCCAAAGGTAAAATTAACGTCAGAACGCTTATGTGAATTTCAAGAGAGAGAGAGAGAGAGAGAGAGAGAGAGAGAGAGAGAGGGAATGGGACAGTATGGCGGACCCATGAACATGCAACCCAAAACCCTAAATCACGTTCTCAAGGAAGGACCACAACGACCGCACCGAATTGACATACATACATACATACATACATACATACATACATACATACATACATACATACATACATACATACATACATACATACATACATACATACATACATACATACATACATACATACATACATACATACATACATACATACATACATACATACATACATACATACATACATACATACATACATACATACATACATATATATATATATATATATATCAGATTACAAACTAACTATAGTTGTCTTTATGGTAAAATGGCTTTTAAAAACAAACTAATAATTAAGTCTGTAATAAAGGGTTTTAATTTATATAAAAATAAATAAATTATCCAAACGAGGGATTTTTCTTCGAATAATACAAAATAATAATAGGATTAAAAAAAAATTCAAATACTTTTTCTATAAGATGGTATGTTTTCAGTTTTGACGTCTCTCTAACATAAAGTATTAGTTGAATGTTTTTAACATAATAATTAATGAATGATAAATGATCTATATGGAGGGCATTTTGATGAATTTGTGCAACTATATGCGCGTATGTGTATTATAAATAGTATGGAATAATGGAGATATAGAGAGAGATATCATTAATCATATATTGAATATATAAGTGGAATTAGGTAGGGATATTTCCTTTCCTATTATAAATGGAGAAATGTTTCTGGTGAAATCATTAAATAGTATCACTCGTCAGCTCAATTCCTTTCAATCAAGGTAGGAGCGCTCTTTAATTATTTATACCAAATTTATTGAACTCAAAATTTCATTTTTTTTGTTTGTTTGTGGGGTAAGTTAGTGTAATATATATATATATATAATGGACATATATGTGTACATATATGTATATTTATATATATAGTAATTAAGTTTGAGAATTTATAACTTATATAGTACCTGGATATTATCTTCGTCGAAAAACTATATATATGTGTATATATATTCGTACTGTCTATATATTAATTGGTTGTAGAAGGAGCTACTCTCATCTACCATATGTTCGCTGCATTTAAATTTGCGACAAAGCTTTGTAATATTATAGCGACCAATGCAAATTACCATATATAATATATATATATGAAGATGAATATGGGATATGAAATGACAAATGTACTCGGAGTTAATTAAAATGATAGATATCCAAATCCAATATGGAGAGGAGTTCAGGACCTCTGAAGTCTGAATGAATGCTGGTACTTATTTTGAGTGTAGTATTGAAGCTTTTTAGGGTCGTGTTTAAAAAAAAAATTAATTGAAATTGGTATACATTTATGGGTAATTATCACTAATAATGAGATTCACTTGTCAAACATCGGGACTTGGGGATATTATAATTCATTGATTAAGGATCATGTTGTAGCTAGCTAGCTAGTGTCCTAATCAACTAATAACCTATCAGACACTTTTTTTTGTATGTGTGGTGTTTTGGTCATGAATTAAAAAAAAAACAAACAAACAAACAACAACATGAACCGAATGGTAATGGAAAGTAACATGGATGTCATCATTAAAGAGATGATGGGGAAATCTTGAACAGCCTATGAAGCAACATATCATGGAATAAAAATGTATCCCATCTACAAAAGCCACAAGAGGCGTGGCCTCAAAAACAAACGGATATGAAATATGTAAATTGAATCGAATCAAATTTAAAAAAATTCTAAAAAATATAATTTTTTCTTAATAAAAATCAAAACTAAATTGAACCAATGATATAATAATCGAATAGTATATTTTTTTTTATAGAACTGAAAAAACCAAACCGAATAATTATCGAAATAATTTAATCCCATTATCATATATGTCTTTCATTTGATAAATTTCATTATATGGGCAAACTGAAAAAATCGAGACATTTAATAGATTTTTGAAGTTTTAGTAAATATGAAATAATAAAATATTAATTGTTACAAAAATACAGTTGAATCATATATATACACAAAATAATAAAAAAATGTTATATATAAGAAAAATAGGGATCTGGTAGATTAAATAGGAATGGGATATATATATAGATAAAAATAAAAAAAAAGGTAGAAAAGTGAAGGTGTGGTCTGGCTGAGATTAAGAATGTGTTTGGGGATATGAAATGGAAGACAGAACATAAGGTTAATAATGGTTGCCATTCAGACAAAGAGTAATGGACATCTCACCAGCAAAAAGTGGGTTCAACGTATTTATGCTTGTTAAATTAATCAATTACATTTATAACCCCCAACATCTTATACATCTTCCTATACTATATGGTTCCACAATTAATATTTAGATATCCATAATATTATTTAGAAAAGTAAATAAATACCCCAATCAAGCCTATGTACATGTAGTCCTGGAAAATAGCAAATTCTCTCTCTATATATATACATATTGATCTGTATCAATTGATTTAATATTTTATTTTGTTTGGGACTCACACTAATTTCGAAACCGATTACTAAATCATGTGAACTTTGAGACTCGAATTCGGGACAAGACAGACTTTTTGTGTATTTCACCGGTTTAACTATCCAAATTAGGTTTAATTGATTTAATATTTGTTTTGTTATTTTCTGGTCCAGGTTAGACAACTGGCCGTAGTTGCACATTTACATGACTTTGAATATACGTCTGCATCAAATTGATTATGACCTCGGAGATTTTTCACATGGAATCCAGATTTGGTCGTACAAAAAAAATATTTTCAGTTTAAAATCTTGTCTGAAGAACAATATCAAATTAGGACCTATCTGGGTATGGTTACGGAAACCGGAATTTCCAAAATTCGAGGAAGAAGATTATACATGAAACATGATGACCACCACTGCACTCAACTCAACACTGACCAGTCGGTCTAATAATGTGAAAAAAGACTTGCAAAATTATATAAATACCCCCATCTCGATTCGTATATGGGCTTCATATAATAAAACGACAGAAAAGCCCACCAAACATTATGAGAACCATTCTACAGTTTCTGGGCCTGATTTGGCCCATATGATATGCCCCCTTACGACACGTGGAAGCCTCTCGTCCCATCAATCGAAGCGCCACGCTTATTCTTTACCATTTTGCCAAAAAAAAAAAAAACAAAAAAAAAAAACAATTGGGTCAATTAGGGCATCCGAAATCCTAATGAGGCCCAGAAGCAAGAACTTTGCCACGTCGACATACGAATTATTACAATTAGGTGATATATATATTATATTCCTAATCATACAATCTTTGCTTGGAAGCCCTAAGTTCCCTCTCGTTATTTTTTGTTTCTTAAAAAAGAGCAATTTGTAAAATAACCATTGGAATTATGTATGTGTATACGCGCTTATCTATCCCCTATTTAAAAATCTGCTATTAAAGTGTTTTTCAAGATGTTAGAAAAACAAAATTTATAAAAATTTGGTTGGTTATTTTTTTGGTTTTCAGAATTCAATTTGAATATAACATGTGAATAAAAAAATAGAGAGGATAGTAGTAACTATCAAAGGAGGTTCAACAATTCTCAACCGCACCCGCTTGAATATACAATAATTATACACAAAATAATTATATTTATGATTCTAAGCAACGTCTGTCCATTTCTAAACAACAATTACGAACAAAAACCATCCAGAATGTGGTGGGACGATCATAAATTCAGGTCATAAGATATGAAAACATTTTGGTTTAGATGGTCCGGTTTATCAGATATCGGTTAAGCGTACCGGGTCTGGTCTGATAAGCAGTATCATAATACAATCAACGGTTATAACAAACTCACGTTCACCGATTTTGCCGTAGATCACAAGTATTTCATATTTGCAGTTACAGCAACATTAGTTATGATCAGGTGCAGCAACCTGCACGATAACAGGGCTCATCTCGACCGTTTGATGAAAATATTCGAACCGTTGCATATCTAACCCTTCTGTTGCCCCTCGGTCTCGAACACTAATAAATTATTTATTATCGACTCTCTCAGACGGCAAAAAAGAAAAAAAATGGTTTCTCGTTCCTCTCTCTCTGTTTCCTTTTTTCTCTGACTATTTGGCGGTTCGTAGGAGAGTTTCTGGTGCTCTGCAATGGTGGAGACGAAGTCAAAAGATAGTCGAATCTGACAGAGATTCGGGGTTTAGCGATTCAATTCGAGAGCGAGGAGTATAATGCCGCTGACGAGATACCAGATAAGAAACGAGTATGGCTTGGCGGACACGAAGCTGTACGAAGCCGCAAACAGGGATGACCACGAATCTCTGCTCGAAGGCATCGCCATGGCTGGACTCGTCGGCGTCTTGCGGCAGCTTGGTGACCTCGCCGAGTTAGTCTTCCTCTCTCCTTTTTCGTCTTCATTTTCAACTCGAATTCTTGTCCCGTGACGTATCGTTGAGTCTAGGAGAATGGAGAACGTGAGCTCGATTCTTTTTGTTCTAAATTCCCCGTTACTTGAATGCGTAACTGTTTGGTCACCAACGAATTTGGGACTTTCCGTTTTCGTTTCTTTGCTTTTTACTGCGGCGAACAGGGGTTTAGGTTTGGATATTTGTTCGTCTCGCTCTTATCCGGTGACGGAGTGATACACTGATTCGAGAACTGGAACTCAAGTGTCCAATTGCTTTGACCCCAAAATTAGGTCAAGCTTTAATGCGATAGGGTTAGAGCCTTGGAGGTATCTTTTGAAATGTCAGCTTTATATCCCTGTAGAGTTGAAGTCGATGATTTGACTTGATCGAAAAGATTGCCTTACTCGTTGTACTTGAGGTTTTAAATTATAAGTTGATCCGAGAATCCGTTTTCCTCTGACTCTTATATATATATATATATTCTCGTGTTGGGTTTGAACATGAGGCCTTCCTGTGATGGTGAAAACTCCATTGCCTTGTTTGAGGGTTATTGGTAGATTTCGGGAATCCGGGGCAAGGAACATTATGAGTAACGTACATGTGAACGCCATTTTTAACTCTTTTTCTGATCCGAGAATCTGCTTGAACTGTCCAGTTGACCGGCTCCATTCCTACTTCTGCTTTGATCGCTCATACTAACCAGTATCCAGAAAGCAACTTACACATCTATCTTTTCTTTTGTCTCCATGTTTTCTCATAAGGTTCGCTGCTGAGATATTCCATTGTCTCCATGAAGAACTAATGACAACCGCAGCACGAGGCCATGGTGTAATGATACGTCTCCAACAACTTGAAGCAGAGTTTCCATTGGTTGAGAAATCTGTTCTGTCTCAAACTGATCATTCGTTGTTATTTTCTGGTCCAGGTTAGACAACTGGCCGTAGTTGCACATTTACATGACTTTGAATATACGTCTGCATCAAATTGATTATGACCTCGGAGATTTTTCACATGGAATCCAGATTTGGGGGGTTGATAGTGTCTAGAGATAGTATTTATCCTATCGAATAATAAGTAACTTGATCACTTAACTGAAAGTTATATAATGGTAATGCATATTCTGTTTCAGGACTGGATTGGCATCCTTATCTGCAAACAGAAGGAAACCTGATCACACGTGGCGATTTGCCTCGTTGTATAATGGATTCATATGAAGAATGTCGTGGCCCACCACGTCTCTTCCTTCTTGACAAGTACATTCTGTAGTTCATGGCTATTTCAGAAACTTTCATCACAAGGACACTTACATCGCTATTTTTAACATTTAACATCCTTTTTCAGGTTTGATGTTGCAGGGACAGGGTCATGCTTTAAGCGTTATTCTGATCCATCTTTGTTTAAAGCACAATCAGTGTCTGAACTGCCAACATCAAATATCCGGATTGTAAAAAAATATCAAAAAGTGAAGGTAATCATGTAATGTAGTTCTCTGATCTTGTCTATAATTCACTGTGATTCCACCATTTACCATCCAAGTCGGATTTACACTTGGGTCTCAGTACCTTTAGTTTTATCGGTCCTTGCAATAGGAGCGTCCATCTCCTGAGTCATGAGATTATGTTCTATTGAGGTTTTATTTTGTTGCCTACACCTTTTCTCGTGTAATATCAAAACTTTTCAAAGCAGAAGAAAGGATCACGGGGGATGGATGAGGAGACACCTGAGGCTGGACTTATATCACATGCGAAGTGAGCATTCAAGTTTTATGTTTAAGCATGCGTTTTTTATTTGCCGAGTCCTTGTCCAAAGTTCGCATGACCTAATATGTGATCGTTAACACTGGATACTTTATGTATTGCGCAGATTGCATCAGCTTTTCTCGAGGGAGCATGTCGAGATCAGAAATAGAGATCCCCAATTTCAAGTGAAACTGAAGAGAAGACAATTGAATGGATCTCCAATTAACTCAAGCTCCGGGAGAAGTTACATGGAGAAACTCGTCAAGAGTCCTCCGCCAGACCATGAAACTGCTCCTAGATCTCATTCAAAGTTGAGTTTCCATACACTAAAAAATTACAATGCGAGTGAAACGGGGGAGTTAGACAAGTTATGTCAGGCTATTGTAACTGAAGTTAAAGTAAGCAATGTACAAGAAGTCTTAGCAACAACATCTACGGTTAATTCCAACAGTGGAAACACTGGACAAGACTTGGAGATGGAGCCTCAACATATTGCTGATGCCGGAGTTGAAATTCCTTTTACTCCTCGGAAAAGTACGAATAAAGAGAAACCTTTGACCAATCAAGAGGTAGAGCCAGATATTTGTTTGGAAGTTGGTCATTCTCTGGAATTGACAAGCACAGGGAACACTTATACAGATATCCCTGTTTACATGGGGACAAAAAAAACAGAAACAGAGAGTGCCGACGAGCCTAGTGATGTAGGACATTTGGGAGTTGGAGAGCATCACACATATCTTGATGCACATGAGTCTGAAACGAAGGTACTAGCATGGTTTTTCGACATCTTGCACCACTCCTTGGAGGAAGAAGAATCTAAGAGTTTACATGCTGATTTCTCAAGCTCTTCTCCTGAAAGTAAATTGTCTAACACTGAAGGATCTGCTGGAACAGAAGATTTGTCATTCGTACAACCTTCAGTGAGTAAAACTTCAGCAGACATGGGGACTCCAGAGCTCGAAGAAACACTTCTCAATTTGTCTGCTTATGAGAATCCTCAAAATCTGATTCGGGATACTCAAAGTTACTTGCAGCTTGGTTCTGAGAAATTAAAAGCTGATGAATTTGGGATGAACCCGCCTGAAACTTCTTCAGTCCCTGAACTTGGAAGAGGTGCTATGCTTAGTACTCCTCCTGAGGCTCATGAGGAGTATCTGTCGGAGCTTCCTCAAGCACCATCAGAAGCAGAAGAAACCAGGGCTGCAGTTCTTCTTACAAATTACACTGATGATTGTAATATTGAAAATGTTTTCGGTATGGAGACTGAATCAGTGGTATCATTCAGTGTTCTAATGGATGATCAGTTCACTTCCCTACTCGATCAAGAGATGGAGATTCTGAAGCCCGAGAGTGTTTCTTCTGAAGTTGATGTTTCCCTTCTAGTAACTGAAAGCAATTCAAAAGAAACACCAATGGCATTGGACTTGGATAAGGTTCTTCCAACTCAGGATCTTGGTGTAGCCAATGGCTTTGAAGACTTGTCTCTGGTTTCTATTGCGCATGACGAGACTATATCCGAAGACGATGAAACCAACTCAGAAAGTCGATATTCCATGAACACTAAAATGTTCGATCTCATTTCACCTTCTGGCAACCCTGATCTGGCTAAAAGACCTTCAGATTCTGAACAGGAGGATAGGCAGACAGTGTCTATGGTTTCAGATGATAGTGACTGCAAGGGAATGATATCTAAGGATAACACTGATACTCTCAGCTGTGAAGCTAGTTTTTCCAGTGATGCTGATCACAATAAAGCAGGGCTGAGTGATATAGCTCTTGAAACCTTGCAAACCATGCACGAAACAGGCTTAAGAATATCTGATCTTTCGGATTCGATCTGTTACCAGCAGACGAATCGTTTGGTTACTCAAGAACACCATTCTTCAGAGTATTGTCCATGGTCACGGGATCAAGGGAAAGATAGTCCTTTAGGAAATGTACCGATAGATCCAATCACAACATCAGCAGAGTCTCTTCCTTCTCATGCAACTGCTCATGACGTATCTGTTGATCTTCATGGGTTGTCTTCAGTAAAACCAGCAATGGTAGGCTCAGACGGCTCTCTAGAGTCAGACACAGATTCTTCGAGTCATACCAGTCACTTGCAGAACAGCGGACATGCTCTGCCTTCAGGGTTTACTGAACTGGAAGCTCTTCACTCTGCGGATAAAAAAAGTTCCACATCATTGGATGATCATTCCATGGATCACGCTGATGAGGAAAATTTCTTGGACATTTTCTCCGAAGCTGCTCCTCATTGCAGTGTGTCCCTCTATGAGGAAACTCAAGCTAGGCCATTCGATACACCTCCGCTTCCACCTCTTCCTCCAACACAATGGTGGATAGGGAAGCTAATTGATTTGATTAAAATGTCTGGGGAACCATTTCCTTCGGTAGTGTCACTCGAAGACAGTGGGAATAGCAGTGCCCGCATTCATGTGGAAGAATATACACTGAAAGCCGCATCGAATAATGAGGATACTATGGTGGCCAAAACAAGAAATGCGAACAAGGAATTGTTCCCTTCATTCCCAGCCGGTGGAAAATTCAATGTCTCCTCCGTTCATGCAGGTGAAAAAGATACACCAAATGGATCAATTAGAATGTCTGAGGCACTATTTTCCTCAGTAGCATCACTTGCAGTTGGTGAAAGCCACAACATTCATGTTCATGCAAATGAAGCTACACTGCAGGCTGTGGGGTCTGAAACTCCGGAAATTGAGCACTTTGGGGAGAGTTCAAGAGGAAACGTCGACGAGAAATCTGAGATTGCGCAGCATGGGCCTAAAGGAGCAGCCAAAACTTTGGATGCATTTAAGCCTTCACAGACTTTTCAAGGCTTGAACTTGAATGAGAATCCATTAACAGAAAATCTTATGGGACACGAGACTTCTTTTGGTAGCATAGTTGTTACCATCGATAGAAGCATGGTAATTACTCTAAATATTCACAAGTCTATGTATATGTCCATATATGACTGGGTTCTCTCTATCTTATATATATATACATATATATATATATATATGAATCTTTCTCTTACAGTTGAGAAAGGCATCTGAACGGCCTCGGCCACCACTTGGACCTAGAATGAATGAACAAGATTCATTGCTGGAGATAATACGGAGCAAGGTTAGACGTCTTACCCTCCCCTTTGTGTTTGCAGATTTTGGTATACACTGCAGTTTTACAAGTTTTGTGTGTGTGTTTTTGTTTTGCAGTCATTCAATCTGAGACCAGCAAATGCCATGCTCAGGCCCAACGTTCAGGGAGTTCCCGTTACCAACTTGAGGATTGCTGCCATATTGGAGAAAGCCGACTCACTTCGCCAGGTCTCTCTCTCTCTGTCTCTCTCTAGCTTTAATATTCGATCTAGACCAGAGATTATAATTTTCTTCACCGAGAAGCTTTTCAGTAGCCAAAACAAGAGACGAAGAATCGCTAGGATGCAAAAACAAAGGATTAGCATAAGGATCCAAAGGTGGAGACGAAGATCGAGAGCTCGATCGCTCATGATCAGAGAGATGAACTTCGGAATCCGTCATCAGAAATCAGGAACAATCAAAAAAGAGATCGAGAAGAGAAATTGAAAAACTGAATCATGATTCGCTCTGATACCATTTGAATTTGGCAGAGAGAGAACGAAACAGATTGAGACAATTTTCTCTCTTATTTTCAAAAATGAATGAAAACTACTATATATACTGTTCAGCTCTAATGGAAAAAATAAAGGCGGAAATGTAAAGTACATAAACTGGAAATAAGAAAACACATTGAACCGAACCGAGGTAAACCAAACTAACGAAATACGTTCTCTAATACTTTTAATGTCGAAAATAACTAAGAGATTATATTACCAATACGAATGTTAATAAATGATATACCAAATAAAAGGATATGTAATCCAATTGTCCATACCATATTAGACAAAACAACACATAGTAGAATGACCTAGATTTGGATAATTCAACCGATGAAATGATGGTACAAAGCATTTGTCCCGTCTTGAGTTCTAACATTAAATTTGAGAAGGATATATATAATTTAAATCGTATGATTGAGTTCGATCCCAAAATTAGTTTGAATTTCGGTGCATTGTTGAAAAAATATAGAGTGAGTGTGCTTCTATTATCCAATAAGACACGTGATTTTTAAGATCTATAATTTTCAAAATTTGAACTATATATTATTTATTGCTGACAATAAGTGAGATTAATCTGTGTATAAACAGGAATTAAGTAACGGAAAAGAACAAAAGGGAATCATATAATGTGAAAAGGGAAAATTATTATCAAGAAGAGAGAGACAGGAGGCCGTGGCTCCACCGTGGTGGTGGGGACCACAACGACTGCGACGGTGGTAGGTCCGCCGCACGTGGCTTGTATATTTTTGACCGTTCAACTCCTTTTGTCTATTTCTCCTTCAATGTTTATCCCTAAAATCTAAATATTTTTTTTATAAAGCCCTAAAATCTAAACATATATACAAGAACATATATATGTATGTATGTTATAATTTTAGTTGTCATGTATAAAAACTACGTGTAGAAGCTTTATATGCAACAATACGCTTCGATGTAGATATTAATATATGTTGGGAAAAATAACTGAATATTATTTAAAATTTTAAATAAATGAAGTAATTAATGCATGAAAATGAGGAGCATATATATTATTAATGGATGTCTCCATGTAGATGGCCGACAACAGAATATAAATGATACAACTTCAGCTTCCGTGCGACCTAACATCTTGACCCGACATCTCTACAATCTCTTTTTTCTATTATATGTATTACTCCGTTTTAAAATATTCGTAGGTTTATATTATTTTTTATATTTTAAAATATTTGTCATTCTACATTTTCAAGACATTTTTTTACAATAATTTCCAATTTTATCCCTATTAAATTTCAATAAATTATTGATGATAATATTGTTTTATCAATATATATATATATATGAAGATGAATATGGGATATGAAATGACAAATGTACTCGGAGTTAATTAAAATGATAGATATCCAAATCCAATATGGAGAGGAGTTCAGGACCTCTGAAGTCTGAATGAATGCTGGTACTTATTTTGAGTGTAGTATTGAAGCTTTTTAGGGTCGTGTTTAAAAAAAAAATTAATTGAAATTGGTATACATTTATGGGTAATTATCACTAATAATGAGATTCACTTGTCAAACATCGGGACTTGGGGATATTATAATTCATTGATTAAGGATCATGTTGTAGCTAGCTAGCTAGTGTCCTAATCAACTAATAACCTATCAGACACTTTTTTTTGTATGTGTGGTGTTTTGGTCATGAATTAAAAAAAAAACAAACAAACAAACAACAACATGAACCGAATGGTAATGGAAAGTAACATGGATGTCATCATTAAAGAGATGATGGGGAAATCTTGAACAGCCTATGAAGCAACATATCATGGAATAAAAATGTATCCCATCTACAAAAGCCACAAGAGGCGTGGCCTCAAAAACAAACGGATATGAAATATGTAAATTGAATCGAATCAAATTTAAAAAAATTCTAAAAAATATAATTTTTTCTTAATAAAAATCAAAACTAAATTGAACCAATGATATAATAATCGAATAGTATATTTTTTTTTATAGAACTGAAAAAACCAAACCGAATAATTATCGAAATAATTTAATCCCATTATCATATATGTCTTTCATTTGATAAATTTCATTATATGGGCAAACTGAAAAAATCGAGACATTTAATAGATTTTTGAAGTTTTAGTAAATATGAAATAATAAAATATTAATTGTTACAAAAATACAGTTGAATCATATATATACACAAAATAATAAAAAAATGTTATATATAAGAAAAATAGGGATCTGGTAGATTAAATAGGAATGGGATATATATATAGATAAAAATAAAAAAAAAGGTAGAAAAGTGAAGGTGTGGTCTGGCTGAGATTAAGAATGTGTTTGGGGATATGAAATGGAAGACAGAACATAAGGTTAATAATGGTTGCCATTCAGACAAAGAGTAATGGACATCTCACCAGCAAAAAGTGGGTTCAACGTATTTATGCTTGTTAAATTAATCAATTACATTTATAACCCCCAACATCTTATACATCTTCCTATACTATATGGTTCCACAATTAATATTTAGATATCCATAATATTATTTAGAAAAGTAAATAAATACCCCAATAAACTGATGGGTTTTTTTTTTTTTTTTTTGGTGTGAGACAGGCGATGGCAGGGAGTGACGATGACAACGATTCGGACAGCTGGAGTGATGCTTGAAAAAAATAAAATAAAAATCTATATATATATATATATTGTATACACGTGTATATGTATATATACACACATTGCATAAGCAGAGAATTAACGGTTTGATCTAGTGGGTAGTTACGTCGCGTTAGCCAGATTGTTTTACAGAGTTATATGCTCTTTTTTATGAACGTTGAAAGCGTGTGTTAACTTTCCTTATGATGCCCTGCGTCTCTGAGGAGGAGAAAAGCGTGACATCTACAGGAGATAGAGACAAACAGCACACACGGTTATATATATATATATATATATATAAATCATCCGTACGCACAGCCATAAATTAATTAATCACCGGTCCCCAACAAGTTGAGAAGAATAAAATAAAATATGAACTCCATAGAATTTACCTTGGTTGGTCATAAAAAAAAAACGAGGGTACAATCTCAAAGAATCCGTACGGAGGCCGACGAAAGGCGCAGCATGACACGTATCCCTTCTTCCGCCAACCTTCTCTGACCATTTCCTTTCCAAATTCCCAAACTTACGCTAAGGGCAATTTCGTCATTTCTAAATAACAAAACAAAGACTACCACCCTCGATGCCTTCTTCCTCGAGTCTTACTATACGTACGGTCACACCTTGGATTGCATATTATTATGATTGGATTCCGTCTTCATTCCCAATTTTGCTCCAAAGTCTACATATAAATTATATTAAAAACGAAGCGAATAAAAATATATACCCTGATTTTGCATTTGTTTATAATTTTTCATTTTGACTTTTGTAAAGCGCTTCTTCGTACACCTATATTTCCGTGCGAACGACTTCTGGTACGGGATGGATGGATGGATGGATGGTTACACTATCATTTTTTAACGAAATAAATATATAAAATTAAATAAAAACACAGGGTTTTAATTTAAATTTAAATTATAAAAACGGGTTTGAGGTTAAAAAAAAAAAACAGAAAACGACATGGTCAATGGTGCTCTGCTCGTACTGTCCGCACGCGGATCTGTCCTTCCTCGCATCTTTACTCCACCATATATGACGATCCCATTACCTAATTTTCAGATTGCGACTTCTCTCTCTGACCCTTTTGCCCTTCCTTCCCCTCTCTGTCCTCCCCCCGTACGGAGCTTTTGACCCCACACTCTGCTCCTCTTTGCCATTTACAAAAATGCCCCCCATCAGAGAGATTCTCTGATGTATGTTTTGATCATATATATCTATATTCTAAAATCTATATCATGATTACTCCGTTATACCGAATACCTTATCATGTATCTAAAAAATAACGGTTCTTTTTAGTATTTGAAAATCAATTGAAAACAAAGCTACGTGCAAAAGATGAGAAAAGAAAAATGGAAAAAATGAGAGTGAGGGTAATTTCGTAATTCGACAGATCATTTGTCATTCGCTTTTCTTCCTCTGATGCCCACTGCTCTTGTTAACGGTTGCTTTTTAAATCCGTATAAAGAGAAGAAACTACCTTCTCTGCCCCAAGATTTCGAAGCTCTCTCCTCTTCCATCCCTCTCTCCCCCTCCGATCTTCCACAAAACCCTAGCGGAAAATTATTCTCCATGAAGAAGCAGAAGCAGATCCAACCCTTTAACCCTTTCGACCTTCTCTCCGAGGAACTTGTGTTCATAATCTTGGACCTCATCGCTCAGAACCCAGTCGATCTTAAATCCTTCTCGCTAACCTGCAAGTGGTTCTACCATGTCGAATCCAAGAACCGGAGAACCCTGAAACCGCTCCGGTCGGAGTTTCTCCCTCGGGTCCTGACCCGGTACCCGAACTCCTCCCACCTCGATCTCACCTTCTGCCCGCGTGTCACCGATAACGCGCTTCGCGCCATCGCCGACTTTTGCGGTCCGGCGCTCCGGTCCCTGGACCTGTCGCGGTCGGGGGCGTTCTCGGCGGCGGGGCTGCTGAGCGTGGCCGTGAAATGCGTGAATTTGGTGGAGATCGACCTTTCAAACGCGACGGAGATGAGGGACGCGGCCGCGGCGGTGGTGGCGGAGGCGAGGAACTTGGAGCGGCTTAGGCTGGGAAGGTGCAAATTGCTGACGGACATGGGAATCGGGTGCATCGCCGTCGGCTGTCGGAAACTGAGTTTGGTTGGCTTGAAATGGTGTGTCGGCGTCGGAGATTTGGGCGCTGGGTTGCTCGCCCTCAAATGCAAGGGACTTCGAAGCTTAGACCTCTCTTACTTGCCGGTAATTTCTGGAATTGATTTCCGGCAACACGTTTTCCTTCCTGAATTTCTTGGAGAAAATCTGCATAGCAAAATTTCGATGAAGATTATATTTAGGTTCAAGTTGAATTCTTTTGCAAAACTGGACACTTGATTTTTTTCATGTTCGATTATCCTACGATCAACTCTTGTCATTTTCTTGGTCTCAAACATCAATAACTTCTGCTACAGATAACGGACAACGTTTTAGTCTTGCATTTTAGTCTGGAAATTTCTAATTTCCTGGAGAAAACATCAAATGTTTCTTTCTCTCTAGCGGGAAATTAACTGATTTCTTGTACTGTCTCTGCAGATAACGGGCAAGTGTTTAGATGATATTCTGAAATTGCAACACCTTGAAGAGCTTCTTCTAGAAGGGTGCTTTGGGATAGATGATGATAGCCTTTCGTCACTCAGACACGAACATGAATGCAAGTCATTGAAGGTAGCATCTTCTCCAAGTAACTTGTAGTCCATAACCAATTGATGTTGTTTTTTTTATGTCTTTTTCACTTGTCCATCACTACACTTGAATAAACGCTACCAAATATCTGCATATGTGAGGAATTCATACCGAGTTAATAACATGTACAAGTTCACAGCCCTTACTTACCACTGAGCTTCAGAGAAAGCAGCTAATGTCTGGAATCCTGGAAATCACCTGTCCAATAACAATACCGAGATGTTCACTAACACTAACTGAAAATTTTGTGTTATGCAGAAGCTTGATGTGTCAAGCTGTCAGAATCTAACTCACAGGGGCTTAACCTCCCTCCTGAGTGCGGCAGGATGTTTGCAGCAACTCGTGCTGGCACATGGTTCTTCTGTAAGTTCCTCATCTGATCATAATCTCCAAAAACTAGTTTTACTCGCTCTGTTCTCTCGCATTGCCTCAATCAAACTTGGTTTGATGGTGGGCACGGCCACCACCATTGTTATAGCTTATATCCGGGTTAAGTAACACAGAGCTGCATTAACACTGATTGGAAGTTGTGACAGTGGGTGGTAGCTCTCGTTGTTAAACCGTCACGATGGTTGAAGACCGGTTTACTGACCGCTGCCGCAACGGTGCCTTATATATGAGTTTTATTTGCTGATCCAGGTCATATCATCAGATTTTGCCAATTGCTTGAAGAAAACCTCATCTTTGCAGTCGATCACACTGGATGGTTGTTCCATTACTTCTGATGGGCTGAAGGCCATTGGCATTTTGTGCAAGGCTCTGAAAGAGCTCAGCTTAAGCAAATGCCTAGGCGTGACGGATGAAGATCTCTCTTCCCTAGTGATGAAACAGAAAGGCCTAAGAAAACTTGACATCACGTGTTGCCGGAAACTGACTGGTGTTTCGATTGCCCAAATCGCAAATTCATGTCCCAGTCTCATCTCTCTGAAGATGGAATCTTGTTCTCTTGTTCCTAGAGACGCCTTCGTGTTGATTGGGCAGAAGTGTCGATTTCTCAAGAAACTGGACTTGACAGATAACGAAATCGATGAAGAAGGTTTCTCTCTTTCTCCTCATATTTAAGAGATGAAAATTCTCAATTTGGTCGTATATGGCTTACACATGCTTCTGTAACTTTTCTTCATGTATTTAACATTTTCTTGTCCTCGGCATGGTGCAGGATTGAAGTCCATATCTGGTTGTCTTAGTCTTTCATCGTTGAAGGTGGGAATTTGTCTTAATATAACAGACAAAGGGCTCTCATATGTTGGCACAGCCTGCTCAGACCTTCGTGAACTTGATCTCTACAGGTTTGTCACTCTGATTCCAGAGCTTTTTGTATCTTGGTACAGAACCGTTTGAAAAAATTTTCTCTTCTAATTCACACACCAGATATGCATTTTTTTTATCTGAAAAATTAAACGAGAATCGTATACCCTCCTAATTGGTGTTTTCATTGAGTACTTATCATTTTTGGTTTTTCCCTACGTCATTCTATATCTCTATCAATGCTTGGATTTTTTTCCTTTTCATATCAAGGTAAATCATGCAAGTGGTTTGGTATGGTATGGCTTAAATATTCATGTCATAGTTTGTTTCCTTTTGCATCATTTCCAGGTCAGCTGGGATAACAGATGTAGGAGTTTCATCAATAGCCAGAGGCTGCTCCAATCTTGAGACCATCAACATATCGTACTGCAAAGACATCACAGATAAATCCTTGGTGTCACTGTCCAAATGCTCACGGCTAAACACATTAGAGTGCCGAGGATGCCCCCTTGTTACCTCTATGGGAGTGGCTGCCGTTGCTGTTGGTTGCAAGCGTCTTGCTAAGCTCGACGTGAAGAAGTGTCAGAACATCAATGATTCCGCCATGCTTACACTGGCTCACTTCTCCCCATGTCTCAAACAGGTAAAAAAAAAGGTTCATTACTGTTTTGTCTTGTCTTCTGGTCAGGCATTGAAGAAATGTTTTAGACATCTTCTGGTATATCATCGGCTGTCTAATGGTTGGTTGGGACGGTGGTGGCAGATAAGCGTGTCAGAGACGGGAGTGACGGATGTGGGGCTGATGTCGCTGGGGAACATCGGTTGTCTGCAGAACGTAGCGGTGGTGCAGTCGAGTGGCTTGACCCCGAGTGGCTTAACAGCGTCTCTGTTGGCATTGGGAGCTCTGAGGAAACTCAAGCTCCACTCCTCTTTCAAAACTCTGCTTCCTCTGCAACTCATTTATCACATGGAAGCCCGTGGCTGTGCCTTTCTCTGGAAAGACCAAACCCCTCAGGTAAACACACACACACACACAGAGACACAATCTATATATATATATATATATATATATATATATATATTAATATTATGGGTATTTTGATGAAAAATGAAAACAGGAAGAGTTGGATCCAAAGTACTGGAAACTGCAGCTGGAAGATTATGCGCCTTTAGAATAAATATGATTCTAGAAGAAGGTGAGACATTAGTCTCTATGAGAGAGAGGAAGAGAGGAAAAAAAAAGATGATGCTGGATTTTTGTTTTTAACTCTCAAATATTAGTTGGAAGTTCGGGTTGAAGAACACAGTGAGAGAGAGGGGCTTTGTCGTAATGAAGATGGATGCTGAAATACCAAGGTTGTTTGAGACTGGAGCAATTTGTTTGATTGATGATCTGTTCTTTGAATGTCACTTTAACAGGTGGCAGAAATGAACGATTGGATCCCATACTGTTAGTTCTGGATAGTTTCGTTCAGCCAATAGGTAACAGTACTTTCCCTTCAGAGAGCAAAAAGAAAATGTTGTAGGATTTTTTTATATAAATTTTCTGTTTGTGTTGAGATTCCATTTACTGTATAAGAGGAATAGATGGAAATGGAAATCTCGTTGCTTTCACATTCTCTTTGTATGGCCTTCTTGCCTGGACATGTATGGGCACGTTATCTTGTTTCCTTGTTGTCTCTTTCTATGTTCTCTGTAATGAATTATGTGATCTAATTGTATAAATGTTTCTGTTATTGTTGGTGGCAGTTTTGTTGAATGTATTTTTGCTAGATGTGATTGGAATATGCAAGCCTGTTCTACTTGTGTCCTTGATAATGTTTTTTTAGAATTTTTTGTACAGCATCAGAGATTGGGTTATTGAGTTAATGGTTCTCTGCATTTCTTCGAGACCTTCAAAGAATCCAAGCCTACGCACACAGAGGTGCTTGTGCCATGAATCAGCCAATTGGGCACATTCTTCTGCTCTATTCTCATGTCATCTTCTGTTTACAGAGCACTTTTGCTCAAGGGCGTCCATGCCAGATTTGTTTGTTTTGAAGGTTGTGATCACCACAGTTCATGCTAAACCTAAGGCTTTTTCTCTGAACTAGATTAAGTTCACATTAACCTCCTTTCTTGGGCCGTTTCCTGTTTTAAATAGATTTTTAATGTGGTTTGATGTGTGCTTGGTTTGTTTGGAGATTATGGTTTATCTCAGTGGTTGAGGGTGGGGATGAGAATTTTAGTCCTTACCACCAGGTTCAATATCCAGCGTTTAAGACTTTAAGTAAAAAAAAAAAAACAATTCCAGTCTTAAGAATTTTATTCAGATTTGATTATGTTACTTTTTATAGATCTTCACGTCTTGGTTGTAACCCTCAATTGTCTAAAGAGGTGTTAGGGCATGCTTCTATCTGACAATTAGTATAAAGTAAGATATTCACAAAAGTTGAAAGAATGATTCAAAGTTCCCGACTTTTAGAAACATGGGAAATATCTTCCATTGCCCAAATACAGCGATATGGATGATCTTAGTAAATCTTGAATTTATGGTGCAGGAGAAGCGGGTTTGTGAAGTGGATAATGAAGAACTATTTTTGGACAGGTAATTTTTCCATCTGTCTAATTCTGTGAGATGCCTGTCAAGATTTTCCAAACTATTTTTGGACGGCATATATGGAGAAAAATAAACTGAATCATGCGCTGTCCTTTCTGTCTTATTTTTTTTTTTCATACACTTCTATTGTTGTTCTGAAAACCCTTTTGACTTAGACAAGAACACATCATTCTTTTCTATTATACGTATTATTTGACTTCAACAAGGTCACATACCTTTTTCTCCATTATAGTCTGTCATTTGATTTAGCAATCATTCTTCTTTCATGCTTGCCTGTTCTTATTTCCCTCCTCTCTCTTTCTTTGACTTGCTTTTTTCCTCAAAAGGCCTCACCATGGGTCCCATGTTCCTGGAAAACCCCTCTGTCTGCAAATTTCTGGTTTCCTTTTCTGGGGAAACGAAGGCATCTTGTTAGTAATTGGTTTGGTTTCTCCTGCTATGTGTTCCAGGGGATACTTCTTCCATAAGCCCTTGTTTCTGCCTCTGTCTGGTCCCATTTTCCTGTGAAATTAAGACACCTTTATAGATATTTGTGCTGGTGTTTCTTATCTTGTACCAATTGATTCTTTTGTTATCCAAATGGGAACCTGTTGCAGTAAGAACATTGAATTTAGAGGGATTGTTGTGGGGGACGAAACAGATAATAACAATGAGTATGTTGGTGAAGAGGATGAAGTCAGGAAAACAGACGATGGAGCTGTTATAAGGTCTCGTGGATCATCAGAACACATCTCCATGGCCATCCAACAAGGGAAAAAGGGGATAAACCAAGACGCAATGACGGTCTGGGAGGTATGTTTTTATGTACTTATGGTTTTCTCCTCTGCCTTTGAAGTGGTGGATATGGTCGTGCCATTTAATGGGAACCATAAGTAGGTTGCAGGTTCTGGTTGCTTGTTTCTTAATCTAATTGCTAGCACTTGAGGGATTTAACCGCTAGAGCTGATGGTTGGTTGGATTGCCCGAAAAAGGACAGATTTTATCTTTTACTATAGAATTGATCAATATGTAGGAAAATGGCGCTGGTCAATAATTGTTTTTAAAAAATAAATCAAAATTAGAATTTTTTGTAGGTATTGTAAAAGAATAATGAATAATATGCAAAATATCATCAGGTAGAAACTACATGAATTTTGTTTTAGAATAAGCCACCAATTGATGACTAAAGTAACTCTTTAAATTTATTCAGTATTTTTAATTTGCCATGTCTGAAAAGTGGAGAGTATAGGAATGTGATGAAGAGAAAAGAGAATGGTAGACCTAAACTTACGTGAGAACGAGTCATTAGGAATGACTCAAAATCGGAATGAGTGGAAACAACGAATTCATGCGGTCAACCCCAAATAAACTTAGGATTAAGGCGATGTTGATGATGATGATGTCCGAAAGCACTTAAAATTTCAACGGAAACGACTCAAATGCCTTCATACTTGTTATAATTTTGTAACTTAATTCTACTGCTGCTCAAACCACAATGGAGTGAGTGGAGTATCTTTCCTTGCTTGATCTCTATTGTGTCACCACTAAGCATCTTTCTGGGTTGTCTGTTCTTCTTGCAAATAATTTTCATCTTCCTGTCTACTTGTTTAGCATTTTTCATTCAATAGATTTACTTTTTAAGTGTGACTCAGAATTTTGCTGGATTGGAAGATATGATCTTTTGCGGTGTATTTGACGGCCATGGTCCCATGGGGCACAAGATTGCTCGTCATGTACGTGAAAATTTGCCATCAATGTTACATTCTGCAATCAGATCGTCGAGATCTATCATCGATATTAGTTTCCAGAATCACGAGGAGCTATTCCATGAGTTCAAGGCTGTTCTCACTAAATCCTTCAAGTACGTAGATGATGAGATTGGTGTTCAATCGCCGTATGAGAGTTTCTGCAGCGGTACAACTGCTGTTACAATTATTAAACGGGTAGATTATCAGACTTGAACCTTCTTTTTCTCTGTGCCAAACTCGCAAACTTTATCTATCCTTTTCTGAACATTCTTCTCTAGATAGTTTGCACGAATTATACAGAGTTAGGTAAAAAAATCTCTTTCTTTTCTTTTGGAATATATTGGCATAGGTTATGGCATGAATTTATGATGAACTCCATTGTTTGAAGTCTCTGGATTGGGTTTTCTTTAAAATGAAAATTGTATGGGTATTTTTCACTTAAAACAAGTTTTTGAGATATATCATATTGTGTTATTCATGAATGCTGTCCGTTTTTCTTGCCCCTTGTTATTCTGTACAGTGAGTGATGTAGGACTCATTAGAAAGAAAACATCTTCTGCTGGAATTTTGGTATTCATGTTTACATATACAATTTGGTTCTCTATATGATAATTCCGAAGTTTCTTTCTATAAATTTGTTATACCCTTTAAACCTATTTTTAGGGAGACAGCTTGGTGATTGCTAACTTGGGAGATTCCCGGGCAATTCTTTGCACCCGAGGCGGGAAGAGCCAGCTCCAGGCCGTTCAGCTCACAGTTGACCTGAAACCCCGTGTCCCAGGTTTGTTTTACTCCAGAAAATAAATAGTCCAAGAAAAACTAGCTTTATGGCAGACCATTTAGATTTTTATCGGGGACCCTCAAGTAGGTGTAATATCTTATAAATTATTTGATATTTTGAGATTGTTTCTTGTTGAATCAGAGTATATCACGAGGCTAAGACCCAGAATTTTACATGATTTATGTGGAAGTAGACTTTTGTATCAAAATTTTCAATTCATCAAGGTTAAAGAAAACCCTCAGGTACTATATTCATAGAAAAACAGATGGCATGGTTCCTAAAAGGATTTAAGCGGACCTATTCTATCAAAAGATCATATGGACCTTACATATATAAAACATCATGTCCACCAAGTATTATACAGGTGGTGTAGGTTGCATTCCACTGCACAGAAACAAGATTTAAACGGCTATTTAGGCTGGAGAAGGTTCTAGATTGTGCAATGCATTTCGTTTTTCGTAGAATGATTTGATGAGACGTGCGGATTAGCAGTAACAAAGTAGAATAAGCAAAAGCAAGTGCTTTGGTTGTTTGGATGGTGAATCATTTGGACTACTCTACCTCACTAACCACTACATATACTTCCTGTGGAGCCATTGATTCAAGTAAGTTGATGTGTGCATAATAATGAATTCTCTTTTGCAGGGGAAGCCGAAAGAATAAAGGCGTGTAAAGGAAGAGTGTTTGCGATGGAGGAGGAACCCGAGGTGTACAGAGTGTGGATGCCGGACGATGATTGCCCTGGACTCGCCATGTCCAGGGCCTTTGGCGATTTCTGCCTCAAGGACTATGGCCTTCTCTCCATTCCCGATGTCTTTTTCAGACGGGTCACCTCTGATGACGAGTTTGTGGTCCTTGCAACCGACGGGGTAAGCTACATTTTTCTTATATGTTGTGTTCCAGCCAGTTTGTCCAAAAGGATCATAAGCGTAAACCACTTGCTCAAAGCCATGTAAGAACTAACTTTGTAATGGAGAAACAGGACAAAGCCAATACTGAAAAGAGTGTGGATTGGTTGGTTGGTTGAACTGACAGATATGGGATGTATTGACGAACGAAGAGGTGGTAAAGACAGTAGCTTCAACAAAGGAGAGAGCAAAGGCGGCAGAGAGAGTGGTCGAAAGAGCCACTCGGGCTTGGAGGATTAAATACCCAATCTCCAGAGCCGACGACTGTGCCGTGGTCGTCCTCTTCCTTAACCACCGTCCCGTAAGTGGCTCTTTTAGATCAACATCCAGCAAGACCTCCTCGTCTCTTGGAGCGACCGACTCCGTCATGGTCCGAGTCAACTCGAAACGGCGTCTGAGTCGACGCGGGTCCGGAACCGTTGTGGGTGTCTAAGAAAGTGAGAGTCGTCTTGTGCAGTGTGGTGGTGTGTAAAAAAGAAAAAAAAAAGTCAGCTTCTGGTTCTCGACAACTGAACTGTATGGCTCCTTTTCTTTTATTACCGTTGACTATATTTATGTATGTTGTTTTGATGTTCAAAGTTGTATCCAGGAAAATGTTATAAAATCTTACTTGCTTAGAGATATTGAATGACAAAAATGTTATTCGCGGCGTTTTGGAGTGCATTGTTTAGAAAGGAGAGAGAGAGAGAGGGGGGAGCGTGGGATGGACGCTCTAGAGCAGCGCGTGAAGGCTTTTTTGGGTCCCCTACAAAGCGCCGCGCATTTCATCCCAAATGAGACAAATCAACCGATCATGCTCTGCCGTTTGCAACGAGCCGAAATGGCGAGCACTTCAATTTCTCAGGGGAAACCCTAGGAGCCTCTTCGAAGCGAGAACAGTCTACGTGCTGATAATCGTGGGGATGGGACAGGATGATCATTCGGTTTTGTGATGGTGGAGGATATGATGGACGAATACACAGCAAAATCTGCGAAAATGCACGAATCTTCCAGTTTCATCGCCAAACATGGCCGATAAAGCAATACCAAAGATTGCAGAAAATCAGATCAAGGCTGAAGAAGAAGAAGAGAGTGAACGATGGTGACAAGGTACTTTCACAAGATTTTTTGTTTTTGTTTGTGTTTTTGGGTATAATGTAAATATATTGTTAGACAAGAAGTAGAAGTATGTGTACCATCTTCTGCTGTATATGTCTCCATCCAGGTGATTCTGCGACGGAAATTCAGCTCTGCAATTCATCGAAGATCCTTTGTGTGTTCTACTCTATTCTCTCCCTATCTGGGAACGAAGCAGACAAGACCCAACACACGAACTTGTCTTGTAAGAAACAGAAACCAATAAGCCTTTTTTTCCCTCTGGGGGAAGTAACAAAATTCCTTTCAAAACCCCAAGAGAAAGAGGGAGTTGCAGAACACGGAGCTTGTTCCTTTCGGTACAAGCAACCGAAAAGTTGCTGGCTTCTTTTTTGTTCAAGTGGTTGTAACTCTCGACACTAGATCTTGTGTCCAGTGTTTGTTCTTGAAGAAACTCACGTTGTATTTTTTCGCAGAATATACAGCGACAGTTCACACAGAAACACATCTAAAGGAGAGACTGTACAAAAATCCACAAATGAAAGGAGTGATTGAGCTTATTGATGAACAGCTATAACAGAGGCCGTGAGCTTGAGATCCCTGGAGACCACCAAGTCTCCGATTACACCCAACTCCTCCATTTCGCTCCACGTCGATAATCCCTTCAACAGCTGCAGACCCTCTTCGTGTCTGATTCCGACCATTATCAGGTCGTACTCATCTCCCTCCTCTCTCAGCATATTCATCAGTTCGGAGTTCTCCTCTGTCCTTGCCTTAAGTTTCAGACCAATTTCATCAAACTCTTTAGTTGGTTTTGTTAGAACCGAACTCATCATTCAAGAGACTATAGAATAAAAAGTGGAAAACAATTCACGTTTATGTAAATAGGAGGACCCTTTACCATATACCAGTAAGTCTATGTATGGGAATCTAAAATTTTCCTGTGGGGGTACCTCTTTGTAGGTGATGTTCTCTCTGTCTGCGTTCTCCTTGCAGAATAGGTTGATGGATCTCATGTCGAGTTTTGTCTCTTCGAGATCCCTCAGCGGAGAAAGACCTATGTAGTCGACGAGTCTCAGGACTAGAAGTTTTACGCTCGGATGGTAGGAGAGGCGAGTGGCATAGGCTAGCATTTCACGGTCGTCAGGTCCGCCGAGGAATAAGGCACAGATCTTGATGCTGAGTGTCTTGATGGGGACGAATCTGAAATCCGGAAGTCTCCCTCGGTCCATGTGTATAGCCACGGAACAGGGTGAGTTCTCTAAGATGTTCCGACACAACAGCCTCTCCCATGTTTCAGCTTCGCGGTCCAATGTCATGATCACGAGATCCGTCTCATTGTTGTACGCAATCGCGCACACATCATCGTGCATTGTCTTACGCGGAGCCATTGAAGTGAAGCACTCTATGCATACAGTTTCCTGGTAACAGTAGACAAAAGAGTATTATTACTTGAAATAGGTTGTGAATCTTGGATTTTGATGATTATATATGATATGATATTCCAAGACACACACATATATATATATATATATAGGTGGGTACGTGGGAGAGGCGCTCGTAGTTGCGGAAGGCCTTGACGATCTGGTCTCTACGGTTGGGGATGAGATAGGGAAAGTTGTGGAGGCCATGATGGATGAGAAGAGGGACACAGTGGTTGTGAAGCTCCTCCAGGTTGAGGGTGAAGGCCGAAAGAGGAGGAGGCCCTTTCACTGGCCGAGAGAGTTCCAGGACGTTGAGAACGGAAGGGACCACATCTCTGTTGCGGAAACAGGCGAGGATCCTCAGAGGAGCTCCTGCCCTTCCATTCTGAACCCGTCTTCTCTTGTAAGGGCTGCGTTTGTTCATAGAGTCATACATTTTTCTCACCGTTGCTATTATGATGGTCGAGCTAAGCATCGTGGAGAGCACCAATATGCTGAAAGCTTCATTTGTTATTCTCTGCAACAAAAAAATAAGTTATGTTACCCCCAAAAAAAAGACGAGGGTAAAGCAGCTAATGAAGAGATGACCTTGTAATTCAAGTTCTGTTTGTAGATCTGGACGTCGTAGATGCCTTGGATGTTGACGATAAAGCCAGCGATGACGGCATGCGGCAAAGGAACTTTGTGGTAAAAGGAAGGACCCACAATGGCTAAAAACTTGGCGGTACGGATTATCATTAGCATCAGCTCCGTGACCAAAGCCTCTCTAGTCGAGAAAGAGGAGAAATCGACCTTTTGACCGATGCCGATGGTGTTACAAGGCATGAGGACAGCCCATACGAAACAGCCGATCTTGTCGGAGAGGACAGAGGCAAGAACAGGCCTTTTCGGAGTGGAAAGACCCATCACCACTGATCCTATGAAGAACGGAAGCCCTACGTATTCCGCCCACAGCGTTGAAACGAGTAACATCAGCACTATCATGCACACGTACGTCCCCTTTATCATCTGTCCTTCTGGTGTTTTCCTCGCCATCCATTCCAGTATTGGCCGACACCCCCATACTATCCCCACTATCATCGCTATCTGCATCATTTTTTTTGTATCAACGTCGATTTGATTCGTGGATATAATACATGTATATATATGTAGGTAATGGTTATCATTTACCTTGGGGATCACCAACCAAAGGATCGGGACGTTATAATCGAAATCGATGGAACGCTTGATAGAATTCAAGGAAAGGAGGAACATGTAAAAGGCCCAGGCGAAGCAGTTGTGAACCATCATGGAGGAAAGAGCTAAGCGGCCAGGCTCAGTGTTCAACATCTTGAGATCCGACAGGACAGTGTAAGCCCCCTGGAAGTACAATGTCGACTCCACAACCAGCATTCTGTGTATTCCCTTTGCTGTCAGTTTCGCCACTCTGACTCCTATCACGTTTGCCGCCATGTATGCCGTGATATTTGCAGCTGTAAACGACAGCATAAAGAGACAGATGCCATTGATGAAGGCCAGCTTCCCTCCTCTCTTTATCATCCCCGTGTCTAGCTGAGCCGTCGTGACGAATGATATGAACAGGAAGCATATCTCCTCGTAGTTCTCGATGATGAAGAGGCTTCTCGTGTAGTAAACCTTCGACTCGAACTGCTTGTTCCTCGCCAACCCAGATGGCCCTAGTAAGATCCCACCCTGTTTTTTTTTTTTTTGAAAAAAAAAAGTTGTGACATTTGGTAAGAACATGCCTAAACTGGGGCTGTTGAAACAGATAGAAAGCTATACCGACCAGAGTCTGAGTTAGAAAGGCAAAGTTCCCGAAAGGTCGGAGAAGATACTGAAGGAAGGAAGAGAAGGAGGAGACGAAGGAGATCTGAAGGAGGAGGAGAGGAATGGCGAATTTGGTGGGGTCGTCTCCACGGGTAATCCATATTGATGATGTTCCCATCCATTCTTCGCACACCCATTCTACTGTTGTGTTGTTCCTTACCACAAAGCTTGTCCCTTTCTCCATCTTTCCCCTTTTGTTTCTCCTCCTCCTTTTCCCTTTTCCTTATATGTACTTCTATTTTTAATCCCCCTTTCTCTCTTAAGAGGTCTGGTCTGCCTTCATTTCAGGTTCCTGAGCTTTTCTCACCAGTGGCCTGAGTTTGCCTCTTTCTCCTCCCCCTCTCCATACAGTGGTTTTAATGATTATGGCCACCAAATTTAACCTAGTTTAATTGTTTGAATGCCCACTTCCTTATTTTACTGCACGGTTAGAGCTGCATACATACATACATACATACACACATATATATGTGTATGTATATATGGGGATATCTTTTCTTCTCCTTTTTGCTACCATAGCCTGTAATACTATGAATGCCCAGAAAGTTATTTTTCACAATCGTGTAATTTCTTGTTGAAATTGTAATATACGATGCATTTACTATCATACGAGTGGTCAACGAAGAGTCAACGATATGCGGTTTTATTTAGCGTCCCAACCCAAGCTTTCCAAGTTAAAATGGCCTCTGATATTGGGTCTATGTTTATTGGGCCTCAGAATGAGGGCAAAAAGGGAATTTGAAAGAGTTTTCTCTCTCTGCCTTGCACCTCACCCTCGAATTGGAGTAACGGAGAGCAGTAGAGAGAGAATCTTTGGATCTTTCTGGAAGAAGAAGAGGGGGAGAAAGAAGGTGAAATGCCGTGCCTGAACATCTCAACCAACGTCAGCCTTGATGGCGTCGATACGTCTTCCATTCTCTCCGAAGCTACCTCCTCCGTCGCCAAGATCATCGGCAAGCCTGAGAACGTAATACTCTCTCTCTCTCTCTCCCCCTCTCGAACTCGAAATTGAACTTGTAATTTTTTGTTCCTTTTCCGATGATTGATTCTGGACCTTGCTCTGGTGGATTTATCTGTCGTTTTTGTTTTCTGTTCAGCATTTTCTCTTATTATGCGGTGTACGAGGTTTTGTTGGTTGTTTAGCTAATCGTTTTTCCCTAGGTAATGATAGGAGATCTCAAGTATTTTCATTCGCAGAAATTGTGAACCCTAAGTTGTTTTCTGCTGGTGATTTGTACTTCAAGTAGTGTTCCCTTTTTTAATTTGTGGATATTGGTCTTTGGATAGCAAACTAGGTTTCAAAAGGCGTCTTAGACATGCTAATAATATCTCACCCAAAAACATTTTGAATCTCATGCCTCTAATGCATCGGATTTGATCATATTTTCGACTTCATTGAAAATGGTTGTCATTTGTTAGATAAATTCTGGTAATTATCTTCTCTGACCAGCATCTATTCTAGTTTTGGTACTTCATATAGCTTGGTCTTTCTATAAATTTGCTTGTTTTTTTTAGTTCTTTTTCTGTACCATTTGATTGGAAGTCCTTGTGTGGTGTTACCATGGACTATTCGTCTATTTGATTTGCTTTTTGCTCTTAATGTGCACGCAGTATGTGATGATTGTGCTGAAGGGCTCAGTGCCTGTGGCATTTGGTGGAACCGAGCAACCTGCAGCTTATGGTGAGCTGGTATCTATTGGTGGCCTAAACCCAGATGTGAACAAGAAACTAAGCGCTGCAATTTCTGCCATTCTGGAGAATAAGCTGTCCGTGCCCAAATCTCGTTTCTTCCTCAAGTTTTATGACACTAAGGTAAGTTCTGTCTTAAACTTATTTTGCCCTTGGTCACATGGGTCATTATGCGTGTGTTTGTGCTTCTTCTCATTACGCTGTCCATGTTTGTCTAGGCCCATCAAAGTCAAGAATATGCACAATGTTTGCACGCTTTACATCAGCACTACTAGGTCACCAATAGAAACAAACTCTTTGTGTAAGTTCATCATGAACGATCTAATTAATGTTCACGCCAAACCAAACAAGCTATCAGATCAAATGCAGATGTAAACACGGGGTGATTGTTCTGAATCTCACAAGTAGTCAGGTTTTGACTTATGGTTATTTTCGGGTCCCTCTTGTCAATTTGCAGTGTAGTGTATGTATACCTCACAATTAGCAATCCGATTGTGTATCCTTTGGTCTGAGATTGGGTTTACGGTTTTCCACAGCTTTCTGATCGGCCGAGTGCTTTTCTTTTTTCTTATACTTCCACACACAGGGTTCCTTCTTTGGCTGGAACGGATCAACCTTCTAGTTCTTGCCACCTCTCTTTAGATTCGCGACGAGCTATTTGCCATGCCTTCTAACGAATGCCTGTGAGAAGGTATTCTACTTTATATGTTATAAACCTCATGTCTCGTATTGTATCGAACCCTGAACTTGGTTGTGTTTGGCCAGACTACTCAACTGCTCTCTATGGTCGTCCGTATTAACCCTCTACCTGCCTTCCATCAAACTTGGGTCACTTACAGTTTTAGTCCATCGTCCTTCCAGAGCATCCAGGTCCTTAATCTCTCCCCCCCCCCCCCCC